TTCACACTTCTAAACACCGATTATGCTGGCATTGCAGTAGGTAAGTGCGTGCCTCTTCCATAAAAATTTGAGTGGCGTGTTATATAATCTCAAATGTATAAAATTGGAAATAATTATAAAATAAATAATCAGATGCTTTTTTTTTTTTTTAAACTACTTTCTTCATTGTCAAGCGGAACTAACTGAAATACGAATATAAAATCTTTCAGAATAAAGAAAATAACATTTTTTTTTGTCGTCGAGAGTGGAATGGCCATTTTTTTTTTTCACCATGGGTCCAATTAGGCCAGCTCGAAAGGCCGGTCCCCTCGATTTCTGATACAGGACTCCTTTTTAAGAGAAAAGCTCCGATTAACTGTACCCGAGGGGACATTATTTATTGCCTTTTGTAGCAAACATCTCCGCTATTTACATTAAGTAAAGAAACTCCGCAATTCTAATGGCGATTTAATTATAGGGCATTCCTTATCTTCATAATACTATAATGTAAAAAGTCGAGTAAAATTTAGTCACTTAAGTTTCTGGTTTGAAGAAACATTAAATAAAAAAGAAATTGCATTATAATCTTTGTAAGAAAAATCTATAACCCAATTTATTCGGTCAGACCATCTGAGAGTATCATTCAAGCTTAAGATTTTAAAGAGCTAAAACATAATAAAATGGATGCCAGTATTGCAATAGTGTCCTGTCCATAACTCACATTTTCCAAGATTGTCCGTTTTATAGTCGCAAATTAAATGACTTAGAAATATCACAAAATATATCACTAGCCTTAGGATACGACAGCAATAGAACTGACAAAATAATAATATTTCTAATAATGGTAAATTTAATGAAAGACCCATAATAATAATTACTATTTATCTTTTTTTCTTATTTAATTTGTTTGTTTAATTTAATTTGTTGTATAACATCGAAACAACCAACAACCATAAAATAGAAGGTGTAACGTCAATAAAAGAATCTCAAATAGTAAAAAACAGGGTTTGAAGATTGTATAGAATTATTTTAAAAAGTTCAATTTTAACAGTTTCTGTGAAACTTTTTAGGAAAAGGAGTTCTTAAAATAAAAGTTCTAGATTTACGGAAAAAGTTTAACTTTTATTTATTTTTTATTTTATAAGTTCTTAACAAAACTTCCGTTAAATGAGAAAAAACATTAATTGGGCATAGATAAGAGTTATAATATGTCTTAAATTAATTACACATAATTCTTATGTGTCGTTTGTTGGAGTAGCTAAGAATAAAAATAATTTTTTAGATAGATTTTTTAGCGAAATCGACAGAACTTTTAAATAAAAGTTCTGACAAACCTTTACTGGAAAAGTTATAGTTATAAAAGAACTGAAAAATTATCAAAAATAAAAGTTCGAGTGGTACCGAAACTTTAAAAAAAAAAGTTGTTTTTCAGTCTCATGCCCTGGTAAAAAAAAATTATTCCTTCACTGTCTATATGGACAAATTATAAATGAATATACCTAACAGAATGTCAATATTAAAATATATATAACATTCGGGAATAAGATATTCTCAATATTACTATATTTTATGCTTCTAAAACTAAAATAAAAAATTATAGAATATTTTCATTATTATTTTTTATTATAGATAAATAACCTAGTATTATAAGAAATTTATTAAACTTCATGTTTTAAAAATAACTTTTAAAATTTTACAATGTAATCAAAGAAACTTTTGAGTGCAGTGGTTTGGAGACCCCTGCTCCAGACCAATCCCAACATTTTGCAATTTTAATTTTTAATTATTATTATTGTTTAATTAAAAATTGCGTAATTTAACGTCCTAGCATAAATATTGAGTCGATATCGTTAGGTAATTTATCTGCTCAATGATCAAAATATAAAAACCGAATCGTATAAAAATTTTATAATTTTAAAATATACACAATCCGAAGAAAATATGAGATAGCGTATTTATTTCAAATTATTAGACTTTTTGGACAAACGATAAACTAAACAAATCAACCTTTAGCTTTTTTAAAACTTTTTTTCGAAAACGGTACATATATTCCGAAGAAAAATCTATTAAAATATAATGGTACAAGATTTAATTCTTTTAAAATACATACTGGCTGTCCCGTATGCAAAAGAAAATATGTAAAGAAGTTCTGATAGAACATAAAATCATTTGTTTACAGTCCTAGCGGCGAATCTTAACATATTCTGTAAAAAACCTCAACTTAACTAATATGAGCATAAAACTTATTAAATAAGGAAGTTTTCTTAAAAGTAGGGTGTCATTAGTGTAGTTGGAGGATGATAAAAAAAAATGGAGAATAATCCATGATTGTAGGAAAAAAAAAGATCTTAGCATAGGTCACCCATTTGAAAGTCCTATTTAAATTGTTTTATTTTACAAACATGAACTATCCTTGAATTTGGATTGAATTTTATATAGTTTATTATGAAAATAATTATTAATTATCTAAATTAAATATTTTTTTTTAAATTATCGATTAAAAAAAAACAAAAAAAACACAAAAGTTGAATTGCCGACTTTTCTGCGAAAAATTGGATCAGTTTCTAAAAAAAAAAAAATTGTTGCTCTTAATGTCTACTGTCACCTATTAAGATGTTTCTCTTTATTTACGGGACACCGATATAATCTAAAGAAAATCTAAGATGGCGTATTTTTTTTTAAATTTAGTCAGCGATGAAATACGTGATGATTGTGTATTTAATACTTCTGCAGTGCAGTGAAGAAATGTTCATTATTATATTTTACTATAGAAAAATAGCATAAAACAGAAAAAAAAGGTTGATTAAAAAAATAAATAAAGGCTTACTTGAGATTTAAAAGCCAGTTTTTCTTATGACATTTTAATTAGACTTTTTAGAATAACAACATAATAAAAACGGACCCACCACTAGTTTTTGAAAACTTTCTCTCGAAAACGGTACATATATTCCGAATAGAAATCTGAAATTAAAATAAAAATAAATGTCGATATCTGGTTTGAGAAACGAGTAGGTGGCTAGGTGAGGCGATGTCTTGACCCAATTAATATGCAAAACGCTAACATGTCCAACTGAGTCAATGGCCCAAGTTGCCTCCCATACTAATGCAATGGCCCAGCATAAGCTCTGTCCAACGCCAAGCCAATTATACCAGCGATGGGTATCATATATTGACGCGTTCGGATCGAATAGGAAACGCGAGGCTGTACATGTCAGAGGGGATATTTATATTCGATAGGATTTGTAATTCGATCTCTGGCGTGGCAGTGCTTCAACCAAGAACCAAGGGGACAAGGCTCCATTTAATGGGATACTCGGGATTGAGCTTGGAACAGGGAGTCGACTTAAGACGCTACACCAATAAAGGAACCGTGACGCTTTCGAGCCTTATAACGCCGTAATATATTGATCCAGAAGCAAGATTAGCAGACGAGTCACTGCATGATGCAACTAATAGTAAATTAATATGTGCTTATCTTCAAAGGATTATTATTATACAGAGCGAAACCTTTCTCCAAAGGACATCCTTGCGGATCCTACGGGGAGGGGATTGGCTTTCGGGCTGAAGCTCCTTCAAAATAGAAAAATATATATATTTATTTAATTGGTCCACATTTGCTTCTATGAGTGATCTAAGCTAAATAATTAATCAATGATAATATGTATCCTTTTTAAATTATAAAGTATATACATCTAAGTATAAGCACGTCTCAAGAAAAAAATATCACTAAAAGAATTATTATTCCTCTTATAAATTTTGGTTTTTGATTTATTTATTTTTTGTCACAGGCCTTCAAGGAGCACTTTTATATAGTTTAATTATTTTCAGTCCAGAGTAATTAACGTTATAATAATAATAAACAAAAATAAGACCTCCTGAAATTAAATTTAGGATTCAGATCCATTTGCAACCAACAAACCTTCTACGAACTTTGTAACCGAGAGACATATTAATTAATGAAAATTTACAAAACGTGAAACGCGAGAAAATCATATTATGATGTTGATATCACTTCAAACAAACTATAATATATATATATTTTTTATTATGTGACATTTCACGAAAGTTTTACTTTATACGATTTGTGTTACCAACACTTATGCTTAAGTGGTATCGTATAAACCTACCTACATTTTTCTGTTTCCTGCCCTTTCGGAGTTTCCGGTGAAATACACGATTAAAAATTAATTAGAAATACACGAAACTATAAAAACATTAAATGAATTTAATGAAAGGAAAGAGGTTATAGATGAATTTTATCTACAATTATAAAGGTATTCTAAAAATATTATATAAAACGAAAAATTAATGAATTCAAAAAAATCATAAATGTATGCACCTTCATTATAGTAAGCCATTACCCCATATTAACGGACACCTCTCTGCGACGGACAAATTGAGACCCGTTGCATATGAAGAGTTCAAGGGTTATTTTAATATTTACCAAAAAAGTAAAAATAAAATGATCATTGGTGTAGCTTAAATATTGTTGAACAGAAGGAATAAAGTAATTTTTTATATTAATAATACATATTGGGAACTTATTTGAGGATTTAAACATGAAAAATAAAACAAAACATAGGCTGAAATAAATTTAATATTTTTAAGTATCTAAAGATTTTAGTTTTTAAACAAAAACAAAATGGTTTATGTAATTTGGATTAAAATACAAAATTTATAATGGTTCTAAATAATAATAATTTTACTGCATTAGACATTTAACTATATGCAGAAAGATAATTATGTAATAGGTATTGAATTCACTCAATATTAAATCTATATAAAACAAAATCGTTCTGCTTTAGTTAATAATAAAATATTGAATTATTAATGATTATTTCTTGTATTAATAGTTTAATGATATATTTAAATATATTATTGAATAGAATATGATTTGTAAGTATTATTAATATAAACAGTCGTGCGCCTGGTGAAATTTCTTGACGGGCGCCTAATGCCCTAGCGACGTGAATTAGAAGTATATAATCGATTATCCTAAATAAATAATTTCTCATACTTACAATTTTGGTATTTGGATTTTGTCTGCATCGTTCTGCCTCCCGAAGTCGTGCCAAGGGCGAGATCTGGCAGCCGGAGAGCTCTGACTTCCCCTACCTTCTCCCAGCAGCGAAGGCATTTCCGAGTAGTCGAAAGACTGCACAAAAAAAAAAAAAAATAATAATCTTCTGTACCTGTTAATGCATCATTTATTAAAAGGTATATACATTAAAAAACATAACAAAAGAAATTTTCATAAGTAAATTTATAGAATAAAATTGACCCAAGTTCTCATACATTTTATTAATAAATAATGCCCTGATAATGCATTATTTCTGTTTTAAAAAAGGTGAAGAAATGGGTGCGTTGAGAAATTTCATCAAAAAATTAATTGTTAAATAAGAAATAAATTATATGTTAGGAAATCATATATAATTTCGCTACTAATTGGACCTAGACAATATATTCACAGTCCACAAAACTTTAAATTCGGAATTAATGCTTAAAAAACAGTTCACTTTTAAAGAATTTTATTATATATTGTTTTCATATGAATACAAATATAATTAGTAAAGATATCAATATATTGATGCTTAGTTTATACGCAGATTATAACTCAACATATATATGTATAAAAAAAAAAAAAAAATCTTGGCTCCAGTTGGTATTTAATTCAAGGCAGGTTTTATTTCATGACTGAAACAAATATGTATTTTTTAATTTATTTATTTTCTCATTTCTCATTTATTTTTTTTAAAATTTATTATATTAAGATCGCAGATATGTATTACGAGCATAAGGGCTCCCTCAGGTTGCATGATAAATTTCAATAAATATTGTGCATAAAGGGAAAAAGAAAAAGCTGGATGGTAATTACGTCGGTCAGGTTGGCAGCCTTGAACCAATCTCTTAGCCTATTATGTAAAGCCGACAATGGTAGTAATTAGGGCCGTATCGTTAAGGCGTTTATATCGCTAAGTGTCGCCTACTGTTCCTATCGACCAGTCATAGGAAGGAAAAAAGCGACAGATGCCGCATAAAGCAATCCTCAAACCTTAAACGGATACCAGCTCGTACAACGACGCTATATCCGACCATTATAGAGACACCCGTTCTGGATAAGGATCGGCGACCATTCTTTCTCAGAATGATCCTCCTTGTATATATGAGAGAAAAAAAAATAATTCGAAGTCTTAACGGTTACTTTGACTGTTTGGACTGAACAAGCACAAACGAGATCCATCCTGACTGCAAACAGCAAACCGACTCGACTTTCTATTGCACCTGGGAAACTTACGGAACGAAAATACATCTCATTTAACTCTCTATGGGATTAAATAAAATTTCCATATTTGTGGGTGAAATCAAGTTTTATTTTTTTTCTAATGTGAAATGCCAGGCGATGAATAAAAAGTAAGAGGGCGTTCTGAAAAGAAAGTTTAAAAAAAATGTTTATTGGAACGTGGGAAGGGCTTTCATAAAGATGTCTAACAAAGATGGCTCTGATTCAAGGGATAACTCGAGTTGGGTTCCGATTTCAAATATGAAAAAAAAAAAAAATTGATTTGTCGGGAATCAATTGAATACCTCGTCTCGAGTATTCACATTATAGTCCACCGTATAGACATGTTTTTTTTTTTTTTAGTTAATAATTAACACTACCCTAAAACTTCGTGAATGACTTAATTTTATCGTAAGGTACACATTTTTTATTAATAAAAATTCTCAAAAACGGGGCGTTTCCAGTCTGGAGATCGGTAAACTTCGTTTATTTAATGAGGCACTAAAAACCAGCGAACGAACATTTGCTTTCAACTTGAATCGTGGGATAATTTGATCACAAAATCGAGAAATAAGTGGTCTTTACCCCCAACATGTCAAAATAATGAGGTAATATAGGGAAAGGGGATATCTCTCTACTACTACTAATCAAGCAATAATTGTAAGGTGCAAAAGAACCTTGGTTTGTATGTAGTTCTCTCAGAAGAGTATTGCTGATAGTATAGAAACCATACCTGCATATTTTATTAATTTTTATTTATTTAAGCTACCATATTATATATATAGTCTAGATTATTGGTCGAGCTGTATGAGTTCTATGGCTTATTTCAACAATCCTAATTCCTAATGATTTAGAGATGGTTGACCGTGATATAATATGAAAAGGAGTTGATCGGGGGGTGCGGTCAAATAAATACTAAATTATACAAATAGTATTATTTAAGTTTTTTGCCGATGTTTCAACCCACTTTGCAGGTCTTCATCAGGGCAACAAAAGATACAAAACATGGTGAAAATAAAAAATAAGAATATAGATAGATATAATTAAGTAGATATAAAATAAGAAAAAGTTGTCTGATAAAGAAATAAAAAGATGATATCAGAGTGAGTGGTAATGTAGTAAAAATATCAAGTATTATGTATATAGAAGATACAAACAAATATGGAAAATAAGTATAAATAAAAATATAAAACAAAGGAGAATATAGCATGTAAGTTAAAAATAAACAGATTGCGATAAAAGATAAGGAATGAGTGTTTAACAAACTAATAAAGATTACATTTGATAACTGTAGGTTAACAGATAAAGAAAATGAAAATTAACGAATAAAGAGATTAAAAATTGAATAAGTATTGATGTAGTAAAGCTAAAATAAGAATATAAGATATCAGTGGATAACAAGCTAGTGGATGTTACATTTGATAACTGTAGGTAAACAGATAACGGGACTAAAGGTTAAAAAATAAAGAAATTGAAAGATTAATAGGATAACATTAGTTGTAATATCGTTAGGATAGATTATTAAGTATAAATAACTCTATAAGAAAAAAACTTTTACGAAGATAAATTTAGAATGTAAAACAAGGTTATGATGATAAAAACAAGTTGTGCTATGTATAGATGACAATTGACATTCAGTTTTTTTGAAAGCGGTAATGGAATAGTATGCTGTATGAAGATTATAATAAGGTATATAGTTGAAGGATAGGTGTGTTACGGAAAGAATCATAATACAAGTCAAAACATACCTGAAGACCTGCAGAATGGGTCGAAACGTCGGCAAAAAAAATATAATAATACTATTTGTATAATTTAGTATTTATTTGACCGCACCCCCCGACCAACTCCTTCTCATAATCCTAATTCCTTATTAAAATATGCTATATATTGTAAAATAATATACTTGCAAATAGTAAGATATAATTACTAACCTGCTGGATGGGTGGCTGGTCCCTGGGAGTGATGGCATCAGCGCCAATCCCGCTGTCCGGGGACGGGAGGTCGACGGTGAGGCCGGCGGCAGCGATGACCCCCTTGTTGTGGTAGGCCGAGCTCTGACGGACGTAACGCTCGACGAAGGAGGCCGTTGCCGCATTTTCCTCCGCAAAGCTGGCCACCTGCCTCAGCTGACCTTGGTACGGTGACTGCTCGGAGAAGTATTCTCTGGAAAAGAAGTCATTGTTATAATTTAAATGGCCTAGGTAACAAGGATGCTGATACCAAAGATCTATACTTAAGGGACATAGTAACACGATTGCGTTGGTGAAAGAGTAGAAGATGGAATGGGGATGAAACGAGCATTGCGTTCCTATATGTGTAATCATTAACTCCTTGTATATTCAGATGATATAGCTGTTCTTGGAAGCAACCAAGAGGACATTCAAAAACCTCTCTAAGAATCTAAAAGCGAGAAGCATAGCAAACTGCTCTACAAGCCAATAAGGATAAAACAAAATACATGATAATGAGCCGAATGAATTGAATAATGAAAATTCAAATACCTCTTCTCCACAATAACCTCAATGTATGTCCAACGGTCGAAAATAGCAGTTTATAACAAGCCCAAAAATTACTTTCTTCTCTCTTTCAAAGGTATCTGAATCCCGAAAAATATCAAGAAATTTCAAATTAAGGGCGTTAATGTCACAACTCACCACATTCACAAGTTTCAGTACAGAATACAACAACTAACTGTCAACAATACAACAAAGTTCGAAATAGTCGATGTAATCTTGCTTAATGCTCGGAGCACTGGTCTGAGTAGCAGCGCACCTGTAGCCCCGTCGTGACTCCCGCGAGATTGCTCCAGGGAGCTAATAACGGAAGACTAGATCTCAATTCTGGGCTAAGCAAATCTCATTAAAAACATTTTTCTAGAAACAATATCTTCAAGTAGTTCAAAGTTCTTGGGATATGTGGAAATTGATATTTCATTAACGAATCATGTCCCCTCCCCCTTGAATTAGTAAGCAGCTTTGACTCATCACAAACTACAATGTTCGATATGAAATCTTATAAACCCCAATATATTTATACATATATATACTATATATGCATATGTACTTGTATATTTTCGAAGTTGGAAAATGGCCAAGTAGAAGATATCCATTTAATTATGTAACATGGTTGATGAGAATAAGATACATCATTTATGTTCATATTGGATAATGAACCTGTTTTCTTGGATAACAGAATTGGATAATGAAGATAATGATCTTCTATTAATTGCATAATTTAACCTGTAACATCTACAGCTATGTGACATTAAGTAATGGATAGTTGTTATTACCTGTAGTAAGGGTCTGAGAAGGCAGATGGCCTGCCGGCGGCGGTGGTGACGTATCCAGATCCACCTTGGGATCCGGGGGTGGTGTATTGGTGTTCGGTGTAGGGGATCGGCGAGGGGGACCCGCTACCACCGAACATGTGCCCACCATAGGTGATGCCCGACTTGAGGCCTTCTGCAGAGATGATCTCAATCGGTGCATTTTCCGGGGTGATGAGAGAGGAGGTGGAAGACGGTGTGCCGTTCATCGACCTGCTCGGCTGCTGGGGGGAATGTACGAATTCGTCCTTGATCGGGGCGGTGTTGTTATTGACGACGTCAACGACAAGGTCTTGATGACCAACCTCGCTCGTCACAAGGAGCACCTGAAACAGAATGACACTATTACAGTTTGGTCTCGAAAGATTATTGTAAAAGACAATGAGGGTTGAGAAGATTATAGTCTCCTCAACCCCCCGGTAAGTAATTTCTATGGTTATTACTGTTCTTCCAGTTTCGGAACACTTTGTCCAATGCTGGGAAGAGACGATAGCTGGAGTGAAATTCTGGGGGACCATCATAAACGAGTTGTCTTCCGAATCACAAGAAGCCTGCCCGTACATGGAAAAAGAATTCTAATGATACGATCTATTAAATATATATATATATATTTAAAGAATAAAACATATGAAAGAAATGAGTTGAGATTACTATATAACTGTTTACTACATTTTTTTTATTAATTAGTTAACATTATAACAATTTGAAATGTTATGGACAAAAATAAAGAAATAAATAAATTCAACTTTCTAACGCCCTGATCCTTAATAAACGTATTGGGAGCTTTCAAAGGTTGATATTTTATTTTTTTTTTAAATAAAAATTTTATTTAAAACTACATCATTTATAGCCAGAGAAATGTAAGCATGGCTTGCGAAGTTGAAAGCTGTGCATTTCCGATAAGATTTCTCTCTCTCTCTCTCTCTCTCTCTCTCAGCTTTATAAGGCAATAAAATGCTGATGCGGTGACTCGAACCCGGCATTAGGAGCTACACATTTTACTGTTTTATTATCGTCCAATTGAGATCGCTGAAAACAACCTGTAAGCAAACCGTCTAATACAGACATCGACCCATTGCCGGTTTTTATTGTTTAAGATTATCTTGAAGCAAAAAATGGCTATATGTAGATGCACATGCATGTATTTGTTCGAAAATTTAAACTTTTTTATTTTTAAAAATTAAGTATCATCTAAATATTTTAACATTTTATCACTAAGTTTATTCTATTTCTATCAGGTTTTTTCTATTACTTTAGATTTTTTTTCTAATTTTTTTCGCCCATTTTCAAAATAGTTAAGCCACGACATTTAAAATATTGAGCTTACGGGTCAATTCACATCTGGCTGCATTGTGTAAATATACTAACGTTTTTTTATGTGCAGAATTAAAGATATCTCAAAATCGCTGCGTAAGTCTATATACTATGTGATATTACGCAGGCTTTATCATTAGATTGCGATCCCCCAAAAAGTACGCTATTTAATCAGATTACAGTAATGCTACTCAATTTTTCTTTTATATCGTCGGTCCAATACCAAAGTTCAATGAAAATGTTTTTGTTTTTATTTTTGTGATTTTTTTAGTGGCAATAAATAACAACATGAGTGAAGCAAATGGTATTTAACATGCTACGACCAATTCTTTGGCATTGCACCGAGGATGTTTCATATATATATATATATTTTTTTTTTGTAGCATCCTTTTTATTATTTTAAATTCATTAAAAATATTTAATCATTACCTTATGCCTGTCTTTCTCTCGCCTGTGGTGGCTGAGGTCTTCCGGTTCCCTCTTAACCTCGTCCGAAGCAGCACCGCCGAGGAACAACCCTTGGATGTCGTTGAGTGGTTCAATCCCTGGACCACCACCAATCACACCATTTCCACCCTTCAGCTGGGAGGAAAGGATGGATGCACCACTCCCTCCGCCGCCCGCCCTACAAAACAAAAAAAAAGAAATTAATTTTGCTATCAAATTAATAATGCCAGTATGATTGAGGTAAAGAATGACAATTTTATATAAGAATGATACATTGTGCGTTTGTTGTAACAATAATAATAATTCATAAAATAATTCAATACATTGGCGTCAATAAATCAAGCGAGTTCTGGGAAATAAAAAATATAAGACTAAAGTTTGAAAAAAATATTTTATTCCTGAAAAAAAAAATTTTCATGGTAAAATACTCAACATAATCTATATAAATATTAAATAAACAAATTAAATGACTTTACATAAATAATTGTGTCTTTGTTAACAGTTAGCTCTCATCGAAATAGTTGGTTCACAATATATTCTCTTTGTACAAACAAACAGAAAAAAAACATTCTATTTTTAGACAACTATCCTAATATATTTTTTTTTTATATTAGGAAATTAAGATAATTAATAATAACTTACGAAGATAACCATAATTCATTTTTAGGCCTTAGGCCGAAACATCGGCACATTTAAGAGTAGTATCAGACTTATTTATTTTATTGTCCACACTTCCCTTTGCTAATTGAATTTCAAGTGTTAGAAAATTATTCAAAAGAAAAGCTAGTTTTTGAAGAGTTTGTATAGCTAATTATATAAATAAATTATGTAATGCGGTAGAGATAATTGAAAGTAAGTTAAATTAATCAAACGAGAAAGTTCTTAAGGCTTAAAGGTATCCACGTAAAGACTAAAACATTTATTTATTTTTTTTAGTAACAAACTATTTTATTTAATGCCAACGTTTCCACCCGACTTTGCAGGTCTTCTTCAGGGCTAGAACGAACAAGATACAAAAGGCTGTAGAACAATGTGGCAGTTACATAATGTTTAGATAAAAAATATAAACAATGTAAATAAACTTGTTAAAATTATACACAGTGTGAATAGCAATTTTGTTTTTTATATAAACTGATTTTTCAAACTATATACTACACCCATATTGGTTCTTAAAATTTTTAGTAATATATGAAGGGTCCATATTATGAGTAACTTTTAAATTATTTTATTTCAAGTATTAAAATTAATAAAGTTTTTTTATGGGTGTTTAAAATTAATAACTTGTGACAATCATGATATATTGTTAAATTGTTAATCAGTATAGTTAAATATAGTAAAGTTTTACACATCACTAAACTTTTCGTTTGGAAAGTCCTCTAGGATAAATTTCCGAAAAAGAATGAATGATATTTAAATGTATTAAATAAGGAATTTAGGACCATACGACCGCTAAGTTTCTTCACAAACGGTAGACTATTTTCTAAACTAGCTGTTCCCAAAGGATAGTCAGTGATATTTTTATAATAATTTATTCTGATGGTTCCATAGTTTGGCTTGCGCGATGGAGTGACTTATGGTCCAACCTAAGCCCCATAAATTCAGCTATTCCTAAAAGCTTTCGTAACGCATTCATTAAAGGCAGTAGCTGCGATTGCTACAGAAGGGAATGTCTAAGATAAGCTCTTTTACAAGTTTTATCATGTCAGAGGGGGAAAATATTTTGTAATATTAAAAAAAAATATATAGATACATAAAGCTTTTTATTAAAGTGAATAAGCATTTATTTTAAAAATATGCTAGACGCAAAGTAAAACATCGAAAAGTTTAAATTTAGCTATCATACGTATTCGCATTATTGTACAACTATGTATAGATGTAAATGATTATATCTCATTCTTTTTACAGTCTTTGTTAGTTAATATGAGTTAAAATGAATCAGATTTCTGGGCAACAAGCAGCAAAAATAATGAACATTTTAAATTAATGATATGGTATCTAATCATTAAGAATATACCATGGCTATTTACCAGTTTAAATTCTACAAAAAGCTAAGATATCAATAATAACGAATATTTAATAAAATCTCACTAAAACCGATTTAGTCTTTTGAGTGTTACGGCAACTTATTGTAGCTCAAATTATTTAATGAATAGGACACTTATATTTTGTAATATTATAAAAATAACGTCTTGATACTCCTTTAATCAATATATAAATCTTTTTTTTTTTTTTTTACGAGACGCTAAGAAACGCCCACTTGCTATTATGCAAAGAAAAAAAAATTAAACCAAAATAAAATAAAAATGTAAAACATATTAAAAACAGGAAGAAATGAACTTTTAAACCTAAGTACATATAGAATCATGTCTTTATAAATTTAAGATTAAAAAGATCTTTCTATTATTAATATGGTTTTTATTTTTAGTTGATTATGATTTATTGAAAGTTAAAAAGCAAATATAAATATAAAATTATTGTTTTGTTTCAGTTGGACTTGGTTTACTTAAAATAATAAGATGGCGTTTCGGAACGCCTCCTAAATAAAAAATAAATTAAAAAAATGTAATTGTTATATATTGATTAAAGGAATAACAGGTAAGTAAAATTTAAATTAATTCAAAAGATAAATGACGTTATATTTATTAATTAAATAATTCTAGCTACAATAAATTGTAACACTCAAGAAATATAGGATATAGTGATATTTTATCGATTATTTTTTATTATTGTTATTTGTGATTTTGTAGATTTGAAACAGCTATGATGTATTATTAATATTTGCAAACCACGACATAATTTTTTTTTTTTTTTTTACTAACTATACAATATCAAAGTTTTCAAGTATTCTAATTCATTCATTAATATCTTTCTTTATTTGCTACAAGTACTATTAATAAGAAACTGTTGTTTACGAAAATATATGATAAATAAAAATAGAAATACGTTAAGAAATCTGGGTATGTCCATCTTTCGAGTCGCACCTTAAAAAAAAAAAGAAAAATCTTATTTAAATGGGTGGATTTTACTAATATATCTATATTGTTGAACCCCTTATAATAAATATATATATAATTGAATTAAAATCAACCCTTTCCCAAGGTACGTTGCCTAAAGGACGTTCCAATGGAGTCAGAGAAGGATCTCCTCCCCGCTACCATTCCTTAATCAAACAAGCTAAAAAACTGGTCCGTCTTCTTTTTACCAAAGGCTTGTTTTAACTGGTGCACCAGTGGGTTTGCTACCTGTGACCCCAAGCTAGCAATCGCATAAAAAGGCAGATAACATCTTATGGGAATGAATCGGCCCCTTATAACGTACTCCACTTCCCCAACGTCATCGGACTTACGATAGTGAACTTAGCGCGAAGTACTTAAACAATGGCTTCTGAACTGAGATGATTGTGTAACAGGTGCCTCTGCGCGTTTCCGTTAGTCTTATCATCCTTATTGTTTATCGATGAACGGAAAAAGTAGTAAAAAGAGCGAATTTTCATCAATTTTAAATATAAATAGAAACATAGAAGCATGTAATATATTCTTTACCATGAATTAAATAATTCTAGCTGCAATAAGTTGTAACACTCGTGAGACATAGGCTATAGTGATATTTTATTTATTACTTTTTATTATTGATATTTGTTACTTTGTATAATTTAAACAGTTATATAACGTATTATTAATCTCTCTCTTCGACTGAGGTCCTTCTCAGCACTTACGTCAACTCAGACTAACACCATTTTTTTTTTTTAATTAGTATACTTTTCTCAAATGTTGTTGTCAACACACATACAAAAAAAATTGAACTATTTTTTCAGTTATTTAGAACTTTATTTCTCTGTTATAATTTGCAAAAAAAATATTCACAGTGATCATATATGTATTGTTTGCTTAGACATTTTGAGGGAAGTCTTATATAATACACTGTATTATTACTTGTGTTGTTTGCACACATAACATAAAATTGAATCATGTAAGGATTAACTCGATGCTATATATTCTTGATGAGGTGTGTTCTAAAATTAGAAACGATACGTAATCCGAGGTGTTTATAAATTGATTATTTAATATGCTTATAAATACTCTCTTTCAGATATCATTTATTATGTTTCAATAGAATTACTGCCTATACAAATTAAAAAATAAAGCCTTAAGTCGTCGAAAAACAATATTTTTTTAATCATCTCAGCTCCGTCTGCCTGGACAAGAATTCATCAGTAGCGACATATATAGTTTATTATTGAAATTCACAACTGTATTAAAACATTATAATACAAGTACACGTGATCTGATATATGTGCCTTTCAGTTGACAGATTGACTAACTCGAATTTCAACATTCTTGAGTAATTTCCTTTTAGTGATATTTCGAGTTGGAAAATATAGAACTGTGAATAAAGGTATATATTTTCGTACTAGAAATATCACTAAAATTAATAATAAAAACTACTAAATTTTACTAAATTATTTTAAATTTAATTTCTTTATACGCGCTTATATTTAGGAGCTAAAGTAGATGTTTTAATAATTGTAAAATAGAAAAAGTTGTGGTTTTTTAAGTATTTGTGGTTTTTTAAGTATTTAGTTGTAAGATCACTCATAGAAACAAATATAAATGTATGAAAAAAAAAATAGCTCCTATTTTTTTGGGGAGGGGTACACCTTCAATAGAAAATCCTCGCCTACAATAATCCCGGAAGTAACATCGATGCTGACAACATCAAGAAGTTATTATATATTATATATAAATTATTACGAAACTATATATTTTTCATAAAGGCAAATAATAAATATTGATTAGCACTCGTTGGAATTCCTGATCAATTTTAATAATAAATACTTTTTAAATTGCCTTCTAAATAAATGTAATGAGAATCAATTATAGATAATGAATCAGTTATAACGAGAAACGAAAGCTAAATCATAATCTAGGACAAATAATTAATTAATTCATACATATATATATTTAATTAATGTATTCACGTCAAATATCATCTGGATATGTTGAAACGAGTCCTTGTTGACTTCAAAAGGAAACAAGGCACTGCAGAAAGATTATCAGAAAATCTGAATATCTTAAATGCTATTTAACTTTTTTTTCCCCTTTTAAATATCAAAACAAGTATATTAATTGCTTTCAGCAATCTAAAATACTATAAATATCATCACCAATGTTGTAAATT